GAGCTAGGTGCTGCGCAGAGCCACCTGCGGCGATTCGCAAAGATGTTTCACGAGGCAAGAGGCCCGCAGTTGCAGGAGGTGGCTGAACCCATGAAAGTCAGACCGGTATCTCCAGTGAGTGTGTAGCCTTCTTTTCTGCATATTCCTGTGGCTGCTGCAAACGAGCTAACCAGCAAGTAGAAAAGGACATTGAAGCGGCTCGCGAGGCGCACACAGAGAACGACGACTTCGAGGACTGGTGAGCAGAGAGACAGTCCTTGTGCCTAATACCACCTCAGTACTAACCCCAAAGCAACACATCAGGGATCTAGGGGTACACCGGGATGTTGCCCTAAAGAACGAATATGCATTTCACCCGCCGCCTCCTCCCCCTCTCGCTGTCGCCGGTGCTTCTCAGTTCAGTGATGACTGCAGTGAAGAGCTCGATTAGTTCAGCTGCTTCAAATGACTTAACGAGAGAAAAACACAGACAAAGCTGCTAACAACCAAACATCAGAATAACCCGCATGGAGGAATGCCTCCCCCTTTACTGCACCCAGCGCCGCCTCCCCTGCTGCTGCTGGGGCTCCCCTGTTTGTGTTAACGAAATAACAAAGAGCCATGGCGCCGCACGTCATGATATATAACAATAAAACTTGAGGTTTTGTGCTGCTCGATGTACACCAGAGGAGAAGAAGAGAGAATATTTAGTCTGTCTCCCTGCCCCCAAGCTTCACTCCTTCAGTTCCTCTTCATAGTCGTGCAGCTGCATACAACGCATTCGGCTCAGAGCATAACTGCGGCTATGAATGCATTCATGTTGCTGGTGCTCTCCGTCTTACGTGTGCATACAGATCACATGAATACATGAAACACGCAACAAAGAGAGCAGTAATTCCTTAGTGCAGCTGCAAGTAGACAAATACTGCACTGCATATATATACAGCGCAAGATAGGGAGAAGGAACGTACGGCGGCCATAGCTCGCAAAAAGAAAAGGCTCTGAGGGATATCATCAGCACTCGTAGGCTCGCGGTCTTGCTGCCAGTAGCTGCAGTGCACACACAGCAAACCATAGCAGCAGCACTAGCCTTATTAGCGGCAGTAGGCAGTAAGAAAGCAGCAGTGAGGCTCAGGTGGTTACGTCGCGGCTTACACACAGAAGAAACACTACAGGAAGAGGTTTCAGTGCGTACACACCACAGTTTGTTGAATTCCGCCAGAGGGCGCAGTGCGGTGACTGTACTGGGGATCTCTTCAGTCACCACGCAGTCTTGATCGGGAGTTGAAGCTGCAACAGCAGCAGCAGCAGCAGAATCAGCAGTGAAGGACTTGCGCAGCTCCCCCAAGCAGCAGGTCGTCTCCTGTGTAGCCATAACAAAACCCTGAAGAGCGCCAGAGGCAGCAGAGGAGTCTGCTGGGGCCAGGCGCTCCTCCTTCCCTTTCAGCCAACGCCCATGCAGCAGTACCTCCAGTCCTGCTGCATCTCCTCCTTCTGTTGCTTCTCCTGCTGCTGTTTCTCCTTCTGCTGTTTCTGCTGCTGCTTCTTCTGCTGCTTCTCCTACCTCTGCAGACACGCCTGCTGCAGCAGGCGGGCGCACTTGTCTTGGTTGGAATCGCTCAGCAACGGAAGCGAAACCGGTGTATTTGATGTGACAAGGCAGCAGATGCACGCCCTCTAGGCGCTCCAGCGCAGACAGCAGCAACTCACTCCCCCTCTCATGAATCCCTTCAGAGCTGCAGCCGTCGACCCCTGCACCCTCTCCAAGAGAAGAGGCAGGTTCTGAAGGACAAGAAAGAGAAATATCGGCCAATCCATTCTCAACAGCATCTGCAAACATTCTTCTTCTGTCTTCTGCTCTGCTTGCTCTCTACCGTATTCTGTATTTCCTGTTTTTGTCGGCCCAACACCTCAACGCGTTGCCACGGGGGAATCTCCGTCTCAGAATGAAGAAAATTTTAATCAATTAGTTCAATTAAAGTGATGAAAGTTGAAAGGAAAACAAAGCGCACAGGCAGAAGACACCCCCGACCATGGTGGGGTCGTTCCCACTACAGTGGTGGGGGGCCCCCAGAGAGGGGCCCCCGTGTTGTTGCAGGGGCCCTGCCGTACACTTAAGTATAATTGACTAAGAAAACAAGAAAACATGCAGTTGTCTAGTTTTTATAATGAAAGGGGAGCAACGTGCAGTCTGTACAGTAGACATGAAATACAGAAAATGTGATGAGATGGGTGTTGCAGCTGAATCGATACGCGTGCAGTGGCGCGGGGTCTTCCAGCTAAATATATTACATTACACACATACATGTACTTTATTATACACCTAAATACACTCCATTATACACCTAAATACACTCCATTATACACGTAGAGGTACTTCATTGTAAGCAGAGAAATACCGCTACCAACACTAACTCAGTCGGCATCTATCTATTTCGTTTGCGGCGTCTCTTGGGGTGGCGATGACACGGCAGACTGCACGGCAGAAAAGCTCTATATTCATTGCCTGTTTCGCCTTCAT